AAAATGAATACAGTTTCTTTGCCATGACACTTTCCAATAATATTTTAGCGGATGTTGGTAGTAATTAAATCGGACGGTACTTATTGAAGTAATTTTTTGCTCGTTGTTCGTAAATCGGTTTCGCGATTGTAAATTTTAATGAAAATAAGATACCCCTATGCAATTTGGATTTTTTACAGTCGTGAAACTAAAAAAAGTGTACCTACCTACTGAAATGATCACTACATTTTTCCGTTTAACAGAATACCCTTTTACTTAACGTGTCCTATAAACCACCTTTTATTCAAGAACGGCTAGGGGTGTTAGAGTTAAAACCAACACAATACCCACTTCTCTACGATCCCATCCATTGTCCCGTAAAATTGTCGTAGAATTGCCATTGACTAAAAAAATATAATGAAAACGCTACTTTAAAACCTATCACAATAAAAATTACACACTGCTTGTTAAGATGACAAAATAAATTATCCCAGAGTTTACTCAAAAAACAATGTAATTTTTTCTAAAGCCACACCTCTATAGATAAGTGTAGCTGTAGGATATTCTCTGTCTCATGTGCGGCTACGCGAAGCTGGGGGTCTAAACGCTTTTGCGCGCAGATTTCAAATGAGAAACAAAGCGTTCCGAACCAGTGAGGTGAAAAGGTACTTTAAATCCTTATTTTTATTCTGCCCTCATAATGAAAAAAGCACAACTATGCGTACTTATTAGTGTTTATATGGTCTCTGATGCGTATTTTATATGATAGTGGTGCCTTTTTTCGTTTCTAGACCAGTATTGATATTGATAGTATACCTAGTGACAACAGAGACCCCATTTGTGATATGAATGGGTCCATAACCTTATTATTATATAACTATATGCTGGCTATGTTATTTGCGATTTGTGTATATTGTACAGCTATCCAAAATTCAAATATTCATTGTGCCTGGGTATATTTCCAGGAAAATCAATAGTATTTCCAGTTCTTCAATTTGATTTAAAAAAAGTCATAAATAATTAAAAATACCTAAAAAATAAACTTATGCGGTTTTTTATACCAATACATTGGGAGTTGTCAGCCCTGTGTCCATTGCAGTTATATGGTTGATGAATGATATATTTTTGTACAGTACCAATATGGAGGAAACGGCGTAAGGTCATTGTTCCGACATTCATTTCAAAAGTCCTCGAGAAGTTTATAGAATTGTTCGCTGAACAAAGTGAAATAATGGTGAAGACACTGGAGAGTCGAGTTGGTACAGGCCAGTTCAGCTTATGGTCATATCTTAGCGCTTATACTTTCGAGTCTATTGGTGGTAAGTAGACCTTCTTAATTTCTTTCGTGTATCCCTTCTTCTTGGGGTTGATTTATGATCTCAGTACAAGATTGAAATCTTTACTACGTTAAAAATCAGATACAATTATCCGACAACAAGCTCATAGAAAAAATCGTGAGGTCCGCTGGTTCATTTCGTGGCTTAATAAAATTGGCCTATCGTCTGGTCGACGTCGGTAGAATCCAGGAGGAGCGAAGGAATTTCATCTAAGCGTTCGATCTTTGTATTAATAATTATAACATACTAATAATAATAAATATGCAATAGCTTAAAACATCGCAAAGATGAATGTCTAAAAATATCGTCGATGTAAAATAAAAATTTTCGTACCACCACGGCTTCGTAAGAATTGTACGAGAAACAATTATTTTTTATCGTTTATTATAGTTGTACAATACATGTTATGACACTGATATTTTTGATCCACAACAAACTGTTTAGTAGTAATGATGCTACTTAATGGCGTAGTCGGCAGTCTGCCTGCGAAGCTTTGGTTTGGTTTATGACAATGAGATTTCACGATAGCGAGTCAGGGGCGCCACGAGGATAGCAGATGTTGAATCTCATACGGCTAATTGCTTGGATCTTCAGCTGACAACTGATCCAGACCGATACTCTGTGGTCGTGAATGCCCCACTGGGTACTGGGTATCTCTCTTATCTTATCTTTTCTTCAGAAGACTAGTCGAGCTATGCTAATACTGTAGTCGAAGTCTTGCGTTTAGGTATAGAGTATTACATACTATACTCTGATGTATCCAATGGACCCCAAGTTCGTCCATGGTTTAACGCTCACTGCAGTCGCGCAGATGCTCGACTGCGCAAAGCTCCGAGTACTCGGAATCTGAAGAAAGCTTTTGATATAGTCGCCAAGAAGTGCAAAAGCGTGTTACTTAGGGCCAAGATCGACCACGCGCGCCGCATAGGGGCCAATCTGGTCTCTTATCCAGCAGGTAGCAAATCCTTTTGGTCCCTGACCAAAGCGGTCCAAAGTAACTAAAGTAACTTTTGTTACCCATCTTTGCCACATCTGCTGGGGCCGGATGGCACGCTGGCCCATACTGCAGAATCTCTTTGCCTCACTCTTTGCAGAGAGTTCGCGTCTGGATGCCGCAGGGAACGTACCACCTACCTTACCTCAGGCTGGCTGCACTATGGCGCCAGTTCGCATAGGCCAAAAAGAGATACTTAGAACTCTGCGGAATGTTGATGAGATGGAATTCCAGCGGTACTCATACGTAACTGTGCGTCTGAGTTGTCTCCTGTTCTCACACGCCAGTATCATCTCTCACTTGAGACTGGTGTAGGGCCCAGGTCACCCGTCAAAAAAAAAAACAAAAAAGGTCGTGCAAGCTTGCAAACGTGCAACCTGTGCCCAAAAAGGAAAGCAGAGCTGGCCGTGTCAACTATAGACCGTCTACAACCGTCTCCTGTCATATCTTGAAGACAACGACCTCCTCAGTGATCGCCAGTACGGATTCCGACGAGGGCGATCTTCTTGTGTATGCCTGTCACATATGGAGCGAGGGTATTGAAAAACAAGGCGAAGCACTTGCATTGTGTTTGGACAATTCTAAATTCTAAAATTCTAAAGCTTTTGACAGGGTCTGCCACGCAAGCCTTTTAAGCAAGCTTCCATGTTATGGTCTTCCCACTGACCTTTGCAATTGGATCTCGGATTTCTTGAGTGAACATTCCATTCGAGTGGCCTTAGAAGGCTACTTTTCCAAACATATGGCGATAGAGTTCCTCAGGGTTTCGTACTGTCTGCAACTCTCTTTCTGCTGCATATCAATGATATGTTAATTCCAGGTACCTTTGCGTATGCTGATGATAGCACAGTTGTAGGTACTTGACCAATGCAAGGGTCGCTGGAGAGGAAATCCAGTCTTGTCGAGAGTCCATGGTTAGCCGTTTAGATTTGACGCTCAAGCAGTCTCTGATTGGGGTGATGCCAATATTGTCAAATTTAACGCTACCAAAACGCAGGCGTGTCTATTCTCCACTAAACGGAGTCCCTTTGAGTTCTCTCCGACTTTTCGTAATATATCCATACCGATAGCCGACCGTCTCCAGCTACTTGGAATGGACTGTCATCCAATTTGAACTTCGGCAGATACATTGAATCAATGGCCAAAAATGCATCCAGGAAGCTTGGCATCCTTTTCAGGGTGAGGCGTTACTTCACACAGGGACAGTTGCTTCAGCTGTATCAAGCACAAGTCGGGTCATGTATGGAGTACTGCTGCCACCTTTGGGATGGCTCTGCTACATACCAAGCCCGAAAAAATACAATTTGGCACGTGTAAGGTTTTACCATTGCCGGCTCGTGTACGTTGATTTTGGGAATAAAACAATGAGTACATTTTAACCATTTATTTGAATTAAGTATTAGTCAAAACTTTACATATTTGTATATATCATATGAGAGTAATTGTTTTTGTTAGTTTATAAAAACGAGCATTTAAAACCCTATATCGCGGGTGCCATGGACACACACGTAGACAACCACAAATTACACCCAAACTCACGAGAGAAATAAATGTAGGCCATACAAATATTTCTTCCGGCCCGGGAATCGAACCCGGGACCTCTGCGTGGCAGTCCAGCATGGTAGTCGTTCGGCCACAGAGGCAGTATTAATCATTTATGTTACTAATCAGTCAAACCCTTACCAAATTCAAATTATTTTCATTTGGTATTTTCATTTACAAAATTTTAGTAACTAGTAACTATTTGTAAGTAAATGTAACTAGTCATTTTAAAATACTTTTAAAATAGTTATTGAATAAAAACATTTTACATAGGTCCAATCTTGGTAGCTCCAAATTCAGTAGGTTAGGTTATAATATGAAAAAGCAGCACGAGCCGTGCGAGTGATGTGAACGTGTCGCGGCAGCAACCGACGTGTGTCAGAAGCGAATTTGTTTGCGTTTCCGAATTTGTTTTCAGGTTTACCCTTGGCCTTATTTAAATTATATCATTACTCTTATACCCTTACACTTAAATTACGTAACTTATAAAAAAATCATATCATATTGATTGTGTCCGTACATTTATGGTTTCTTATAACTTAGTTAATAATTCCTACTTGATTTTAATTTACTTACTTACAAAGATATAATAGAAATATTCAATAAAATAGGTACTTGTGAATATGAAATACCTACTATTTTCTTTTTCACAAATAATTTCCAAATTTAACCGTACCTTTGAGATAAATCCTAAGATATATCAAGCGAATGGTGGTAAAGTTCGAAATGAACGATGATCACAGAAATGTTCGGACTTTTACCACTGAGAGTTGGTAAATCTTAGGTATTACTGGAAAATAGTAGGATTTACTGTAGTTACGGTTTTACTGTAATATACATACATTATCTTCTTTAAATTACTAACAACGTAAGGCGTAGACTTAACTCTTTTATCCAATTTCATAATTAATCAGAATATTTAGTAAAAGTCTAAAATCATAAAATCAACTGCATGTTTCTTTCTTACCTTGTCACATTTCTTTCGATTTCGATTCGAGTTTCAACATAGGTTATGGTATATTTTACAGATTATACGATATTTTCGGAGATTCAGAAAGACCGGTTGTAAAGCAAGATCTTACGAAATTTATATATTTGGAAAGAGTCATTAAGGAGTCACTCAGGTTGTGTCCTCCAGTACCTTTTTCTTTAAGGAAGATTTTCGAAGATACTAAATTACGTAAGTTATAAAAAAATCAAATCATATTGATTGTGTCCGTACATTTATGGTTTCTTATGACTTAGTTATTACATTCCTACTTGATTTTAATTTACTTACCTACATAGATATAATACAAACATTCAATGAAATAGGTACTTGTGAATATGAAATACCTACTATTTTCTTTTCCACAAATAATTTCTAAATTTTCATACGACATTAGATATTTCAAGTTACGGAAACAGTAACTTTCTTTCAGCTTCCGGTTACGTTCTTCCTGCTGGAACTGGAATTCTAGTGCCCTTTTGCGGTGTCCACCGAGATCCCAAGTACTGGGGCCCAGACGTTGAGAAGTTCGATCCGGACCGCTTCTAGCCGGAACGATTCAACCTTGAACATTCGTGCAGTTATATGCCATTTAGTTATGGACCCAGAAATTGTGTTGGTAAGGAAAACAATCCTTTTGATTCTACTCTGTACTCTGAAGATTATTTGTTGAAATTGAAACTTGTAGCATTTAGCTTTACCCTTTATTACTGAAGTTTCACTTTGTAACCGTGTGTACACGTCACTATTTAAACACATTTATATTCTCGTAGAATAATCAGCGATTAATATAATGATGATAATGATAATGATATAATATAATGATGATAATGTCGTAGCTGCAATTACTTTACTAGGGTATTGCCATAATTAATGCTATTGCAATAAGATGACGCTTGTAGTGAAAGTACGTATCGCTATAAAAAAAAGTCGTCACCAAATAAGAAGCCACATTTGACACTTGTCATCGTGACGCGAATAGGGATGTGGACTAATCATATAGGTAATCACATTATAAGATTTTCACGAGAAATCGATTCAAATTTTAAGAGTTTGTAATTGTTTAGAGTATGTTACGGTACATTGTTGTTCAGGAGGCCTAAAAGACCAAATCGTGCAATTCTATTAAAAACAATTCATTTACAGAATTCCTTGCAATTCTGTAGCAATTCCTCTCATTTTCGTAAAATTGTCCCACGTGTCGATGTCAACAACAAACAATCTCAAATAATGTTCATAATTTAGAAAACAGGAACAGTTCAAAAGCAAAGCTGAGTCACAAGAAAAATACATAAAAAATAACCAAGCGCACAGTCAACTTCCAAAATGGCGAAAGACTGCGCCGTGCGCGGGCGCCGCTGTATTGGTATCAGTGGTGTTGACAACTCAAAATTTGCAAAAAACAAAAAGGAAACACAAATCTGGCTAGGAGTAAGGGTCTCTTACAATTTTTTTTATTTTACTTATAATTTATTTGCAATAGGTGTGGTCAGAGATTATATACATAATTATTTAAAATACACAATTTATACATTTTTTGTTTTAATATTTAATAAGCAATATTTTTCCGAGAAATCGAAGGGACTCGGTGAAATTCGGCAATTAATTGCTTACAACACTATTATTTAAAAAAAATAGCTTTAGGACGTAACTGTTTTCAGGACGTTTCGGAGTAACTCAAAATTGCATTTTATATTGTAATTCCTGTGAAAACAGTACTACAAATATGTTTTGTCATATTATATAATGTTGCATTAAAATTTATGTATTTTTTAAACTCAATTATGCTAATAATTGTTTGTTTGTTGTTTCGTTGATCGCATTCAAAGTTACATACTATCGCCTTCTTTAGGTGTCAAATGTGGCCTCTGACGACTATAATATTATTACAGTGCATCGGCTAAATTCGTAACCTCCATTGTTGTGAATTTTTGACTAGGCAAAAAAACACACTTACTAGAAATAATTATACGACAACACTATTATTAATAGTTTATACTTTTATTTTTATGACTATAAAAGGGATATTGTACTAGAAGAGGAAAAAAGATATTTCGTCCAAAAATGGAGTTATGAGATTTTCAAATTTAGCCGACGCAGTGTTATTACTATTTCACTGACAACATTGGGTGCTGACAACTCATCGATTTACAAAAATAAGACTTCTATGTTTAATGCTGTATTTAAACGACACTGAAACTGGTGATCGCATCTCGCACTTCGAACTCAGACAGACCTAACTTATAGAGGTAAATTTTAAAATTCCTGGCCCGGGAATCGAAACCGGGACCTTTGCTTGGCATTCCAGTGTGGTAACCGTTCGGCCACGGAAGCAGTAACATTTATGCTGCCTGGTGGTTTATTGCTAGTTAAGCGAAAAAATACCCATTGCGCATATTTATACATAATATCACCTATCACCAGCTCTTCGCATGCAAATTTGCAAAACGATACAGATGATAGTATGGTAATTGCAGGTGGAAACAGTAGTCCTTAGAATTTTTGCGCAGGTTGAATAATGCCGTAACGGCAAGTTTTTTTAATGTTTTATATGAAAGTGGTGAACATTACAGCTTACAAATACGGCATGCAGTCTTTGAAGACGGTGTTGGCGACATTTCTGCGAAAGTACCGAGTAGTGGCTGAAGAGAACACCCTTCACAATCCTAACATCAGAGTGAAAATGGAACTGATGTTGAAAGCTGTTGTTGAGTATCAAGCCATCTTAGAAAGAAGAGTACCTAAGAATTTGTAAAAGAGTGTAGACGGCTTTTAGTTGTTTATAAGTTAAGGGACAGAAAGGCCATGATAATAAAATTATGTATACAGGTCTGGTGTTGGCTATACAAAAACCTCTCTCGATTTCGAATAGTATAATTTATTGTAATGTACTGTATTGAAATCAAATTGTAAATATCCAGTGCATTAGGCTATAGCTAGGTATATATGCATCTATATCTACGAATTTGTGTTGCAGGTAATTAAAAAAAAATTGGTCAAAAGAAGCAGTCGTATCATTTCACACCTTATTATATGTAGCTAATACAAAAAGAACCTTATTTGAATAAGCATAATTGGTCGATGTGCGAATACAAAAGGTGCCCACATGCCTTAGATAAGAAGACAAGTTTTAAATTCAAAAGTGAATATTGAAAGTTGACATAAATTTTAAGTTACTAATTACTGTGTTTTGTTGCGATACGTATTCAAATTTCGGAACCAAGTACTCGCATAAGTGCAGAACGAAGTGTATATTTAAGTGCTTTGGAAGATGTATCCGACATGACACAAAAAGCGTTAATAAACCTAGAAAAAACCCGAAACAACGATTTACGGAAGGTTCTTTCTTAAAATCGATTGAAAATTTTGCAAACTATTGGGATACATTTAAATTTGTATTGAATTGATATTCAATTATTTTTACGTGAAATTACTCCACTAGTTTGTTATAATATGTGTTAGCTTCGATGTCCACTGGTGGCGCCACCGCCATCCGCACATGAAGTCCTGGACCAGTAGTGTATTTAATCAATATAACTAGAAATCATTGTAAATAAAATAATAAATAAATAAATAACGCACACACTCAACATAGCCCCGCACTAGGGAAACCCTGTGTCGCGGGTGCCATGGACACACATATAGACAACCACAAATTACACCCAAACTCACGAGAGAAATAAATGTAGGCCATACAAACATTTCTCCCGACCCGGGAATCGAACCTGGGACCTCTGCGTGGCAGTCCGGCATGGTAACCGTTCGGCCACGGAGGCATTTAAATTAAAAAATGAAAAATAATTATTGATTTCTCACAATCCTAGAATTACTAATTAGAAATGTATTATGTGAAATAATCATACGACGCCACTTAGTTTCAAGATACTATAAATATATAAATACCGAATTAACGACATTTTTATTTTCATTTCTCTTGTCCGCCATCCTGTACTGCTTTCGTTACACCTCAGAAGTGGTATCGAATTAAAAGCGCTTTAACGGACAAGATGTCGAGCCCCTACATCGATGGCCTAGGCCGAAGAAAATGCAACCGAAGTCGGAAATCTACATCTGAAGGAGACGAAAGTGACGATTTTTTTTTCCCGACGACGAGATCAACTTCTTGCCGAAAAAACGACGTCGCGTTACACCAACGGATGCGGAATTAATACCGAAATTCCGCCCTGACGACTCTACGAACAACGTGAGGTGGTTGCATAAAATCGATCAGCTTGGCGATATTTATGGGTGGATAAGCACTGACCGGCAATTTATCATGCAACTCCGACTTCGTGGCTCTGCACGAGAATGGTACGCCGATCTGGAGGATTACGACCTGACCTGGGAACAGTGGAAAGAAGCCCTGAGAACAGCGTTTCCTCGAAGAACAAAGGACAAAGAAACGATAACGAAATACTATCACGCCAAACTATCGCTATTGAAAAAATTTAATATTGATGGTGAACGAGCTATTTCCTGCATAATACGCGGCCTTCCCGCTGAACTGAGGGCGAACGCCAAAGCCTACAATTGTGAAACGCCAGAACAATTATATCACGGCTATTTGTCTTCTTTGGAGAATCTCAAACGAGTGGAAGCTGCAACGGACAAAGGAAAATCATCGTGGAGACGAGAAACCTTCACTACTATGTGCAGCGGAGCGTCGTCCCAACAGGCGCTGCAGCCGAAGATCTGTTACGCGTGTCGGCGACCGGGACATACAGCCAAGGACTGCCGCTCAACCCAGGTCTGCGAGACTTGCCAGCGCCCGGGACACTCCACAGCGGCCTGCAGGTTTGCGGCCGCTAGTAAATTTCAACCATCAATACGACAGGTTAATAATGTCTGGGCTATTACGTATAATATCTATCTTGATCTATATAAAAGACACGTGATTGTAAACGATTACCTATTAATGGCCTACATAGATACTGGGAGTAAAATCAATGTACCTACTTACGTTCGCAGCAGCACAAAATCTGCTAATTAGGGAATCCGTATTGGAGTACGCAAGCCCTGTACCTATTTAATCCCGCGCATAGCCCGTTGGTGGCTAACGATCCTGGAATTTGATCTTGATATAGAGTATAAGCCGGAAGAACGTATGAAGCACATAGATGCTCTTAGTAGGAATCCCATAACAGCTCTTAATAGACAACCCAGACTGGTTGAGGACTCTGCAAATGCAGGATGAAAACATACAAAGCATTTTGACTCAATTGCGTGAACCGAATGTGAGCACCAATATTGCGAGCAATTACGTAGCGAAAGACGAAGTGCTCTACCCGAAGACATTAGCAGGAGAACGTTTCGTTATTCCTAGATTGGCTAAATACGGGCTGTTACAAAAGATGCACGATCAAATAGGTCACCCTGGCTTTGAAAAATGTGAACAAACCCTCAAAGCCTAGTTTTGGTTCCTTAAAATGACTCGGTTTATTCGAAAGTACACAAATTCGTGTCTGCAATGCGCCTTACGCTACTACGGCGCTACACCGTTTGGCCTCATTTCGGTCACTCAAACAGCCGCTTCCCGGTTTTTCCTACTGATACGCCCCAAGATGCCGACATTCA